CTTATCTGCTTTCCGAAGGGACCACTCTCTCCGTGACTCCCTTGTCCGCTCCACACTCCCCTCCAGCCCCATCACACCCGCCACTTTTCCCTGCAACTGCAGGAAGTGCTACACCTGCCCCCACACTTCCTCCCTCACCCCAACCCCAGGCCCCAAGAAGACTTTCCACATCAAGCAGATGTTCACCTGCACATCTGCTAATGTGGTATACTGCATCCGCTGTACCCATTGTGGCCTCCTCTACATTGGGGAAACCAAGCGGAGGCTTGGGGACCGCTTTGCAGAACACCTACGCTCGGTTCGCCATAAACAACTGCACCTCCCAGTCGCGAACCATTTCAACACCCACTCCCATTCCTCAGACAACATGTCCATCCTGGGCCTCCTGCAGTGCCACAACGATGCCACCCGAAGCTTGCAGGAACAGCAACTCATATTCCGTTTGGGAACCCTGCAGCCCCATGGTATCAATGTGGATTTCACAAGCTTCAAAATCTCCCCTCCCCCTACCGCATCCCAAAACCAGCCCAGCTCATCCCCGCCTCCCTAACCTGTTCTTCCTCCCACCTATCCCCTCCTCCCACCTCAGGCCCCACCCCCATCTCCTACCTACTAATCTCATCCCGCCCCCTTGACCTGTCCATCCTCCCTGGACTGACCTATCTCCTCCCTACCTCCCCACCTACACTCACCTTTACTGGCTCCATCCCCGCCTCTTTGACCTGTCTGTTTCCTCTCCACCTATCTTCTCCTCTTTCCATCTTCTATCCGCCTCCCCCTCTCTCCCTATTTATTTCAGAACCCCCTTCCCCTCCTCCATTTCTGATGAAGGGTCTCGGCCCGAAACGTCAGCCTTCCTGCTCCTCTGGTGCTGCTTGGCCTGCTGTGTTCATCCAGCTCTGCACCTTGTTATCTCACATTTACCTTTCTAACTGCCAACTGAACCTGCCTGTTACCTGAAGAGAATCCTGAACTCGACTCCCAAGTTCCTTTCTGCTTCGGATTTCTCTTTGTTCTGTCTGTACAGATGGTGTCAGATCTGCTCTGTTTCTTTAACATTCTCTGTTTTTGATTCTAATATCCAACATCCTGCTGTTCTTTGTTTTATATTATTGACATTGACCATCATGTTTGAGGCATTTCACCATTATATTTTTGTTTTATATTCGTCAGGTCGAAATAAACATCGAAATATACAGAGGTGAGAATGTTATATGACTCATGTTAATCCGATATTTGACTTTATGCAACATATATACATGTACATTAATACATCGTTCCATCTAATATTTATTCCATTTTGATTTTTGTGCAATTAATTCCCATTATATCACACTTGGGTCAATATATGTCTTTATTTTTCAGGACTGCTCCCTCAGCAGTTCAAAATACACACAGCGAAGGCTCTGATAGCATTTGTAAGTATATCACTGATATTAGTGACTGGCTGTAATGACCGTGGTGCAGAGTAACATCTTTCTGTGTGATTCTTAACATGAAAAATGTGTTAACGGTTTTAGTGAAGAAATTCTAAATTTCATTCCTATCCACTGTATGATTGTTCACTCTTTGATCAGATAGAGTCTTAACATCAGAAACAAGCATTGAAATAATGTGAATTTTGGTGTAGTGATTGAGAGAGAGAGAGAGAGAGAGGGATTTAACATTACAAGTTATAAACACAGGAAGTGCTGGAGAAACTCAGCAGGTCTGGAAGCATCTGTAGAGAGAGGGACAGATAGAATTAACCTTTCTGGTCAAGTGATCCTTCTTCAGAAGGGCTAGCTAAGGGGCTGTCAGACAAAACACAAGCAATTTCATTCAGGATCCTGTCTCTATCATGTTGGAGATTCACTTCAAGTAAAGTCAAGGACATGATGTAGAAGCAAGCATTTGAAGTGATACCATTGGGTTTGCATTCACTGTTGTCCAAATCTATCCTTAAAATTTGTCTGTAATGTAAATGACAGAGCTGTAACCCATCCTTACGGCCTGATTTTCCAATACCATATAAGGCTGTTAGAGTAAAGAAACTGTTTCATCGAAAAGACCCAGTGCCCTGGAATAAATAGTGTGTGGTGTGTTCTCCTCTTTGTAGAGGAGGAGGTGAAACTGTCCATGTTATGTTGCCTTTTAGTCACCATCTGGACACTGGTTTGCACCAACTGGATAAAAATGCAACTTACAGAACAGTCCACAAGAGCATAACATCATAAGAAATAGGAACAACAGTCCTGTTCGGCCCTCGAGTCTGCTCCACCATTCAATCGGATCATGGCTAATCCAACATGTCTCACATGCACCTTCCCTGTTACCCCTGATTCCCTGACTGATCAAGAATCTACCTACCTTAGCCTTAAATATGCACCCCTCCCCCCTCCCTCCCCAGTGCAGAAAGTTCTGTATGGCAAGGAGTTCCAAAGCCTCACAACCCTCTGAGGGAAGAAATCCCTCCTCATCTAAGTCTTCAATTGGCAAACCTTTATTGTGAGACTGTGCCCTTTGGTCCTAGACACTCCCATGAGGGAAACATTCTCTCAGCATTGACTCTGTCAGGCCCCAAAATGTTTCAATGAGAAAACTCTCATTTTTCTAAACTCCAGTGAGTAGAGCCCCAATCTGTTTAGCTCATAAGACAATCTCTCCATCCCGGGGATTATCCTCATGCATAGAATATAGATCTCACAAATATTATTTGTCACTATTTACTGGACTACAGATTAGGTAAGGGTGGTTCGCTTGGATGGCAGGTGGATGATGCCAACAGCATGGATTCAATTCCCACACCAACTAAGGTTAGCTTGAAGGACTGTCCATCTCAACCTCTCCCTCACATGAGGTATGGTGACCCTCAGGTTAAACCACCACCAGATGTCTCTGCACAATGCAAGAGTGGGCCTATGGTTGTTTTTGTTTAATTTTGGGCCTATATTTCAGTGGACACCGAGTTTTAGCAACAATTGACAACATAAACTACTGAGTCTCAGTGCTTAGACAAGGAAGAGAAAAACTCAATTTATGTGCTTCTTTTATCCTAGGTAACAATGCCAATTTGATCCATCATAGAACAATGGTAAACATGCAATTCTTAGTCAAACTCCAATCACGTATTTTCTTGCTATGTAAAGTCTGATTAGATTTTCCTGTCGAGAGAGAGAGAGTCCAGGGATATAGAATATACTTTGAGGGTGAGAAAGAATAGAACAAGAATGGAGAGATTGATAGAGAGAGAGAGAAACACCATTGGGATTGGGGTGGGCGTGAGGGATGGGGTGCTGATGGACAGAAATAATGGGTAGGGAGAAAGAGAATGATGGGAGTGAGACGGAGAGGGATGCAGAAAATTGATACAAACAGAGGGACAAATGGGCAAATGGTGGTGAGAGTTGGGGGGGAAGGCAACAAAATATGAAAACAGAGATAAACATAGGAAGGACATTGAAAAGAAAGAGTCATAGAGTCATTCAGCATGGAAACAGACCCTTCGGTCCAACTCATCCATGCTGACCAGGTTTCCTAAACTGAACTAATCTCATTTGCTGCATTCGGCCCATATCCCTCTAAACTTTTCCTATCCATGTACCTGTCCAAATATTTTTTTAAAATGTTGTAATTGTACCCCCTTCTACCACTTCTTCTGGTAGCTCATTCCATACACACACCACCCTCTGCATGAAAAAGTTGCCCTTTTAAATCTGACCCTCTTACCTTAAACCTGTGCCACCTACTTTTTGACTTCTCTAGCCTTGGGTAAAGACCTTGGCTATTTACCTTATCTCTGCCCCTCATGATTACATAAATCTCTATAAAGTCACCCCTCAACCTTCCATGCTCCAGTGGAAAAAGTCCTACCTCCCCTTAGAACTCAAACTCTCCAGTCCCGGCAACAGCCTTGTACATTTTTACTTCCTAGTTTAACGACATACCCCCTGTAACAAGCAACCAGAATTTATGCAGTATTCTAAAAATGGCCTTACCAATGTCTTGTACAGCTGTAACGTGATGCCCCAACTCCTACACTCAATGATCTGAACAATGAAGGGAAGCCTGCTGAATACCTTCTTCCCTGCCCTGTCTACCTATGATGCCACTTTCAAGGAACAATGAACCGGCACACCTAGGTCCCTCTGGTCGACAGCACTCCCCACACCCCTACCATTGACTGGGTAGGTTCTGTCCAGAATTGCCTTACTAAATTAAACTCCAACTCCACTCCTCATCCATTGGCCTATCCAAACAAAATCCTATTGTACTTTTAGATAACCTTCTTCACAGATTTCACCAATTTGTAATCATCTGCAAAGCTTACTAATCAAACCTCCGAAATTCTCATCCAAATGGAGAGACCAAAAGCTCAAAAAAAAGAGATGTGTGGGGGTGTAGTGAGAAAGGGATTGACAGGAAGCAGGAGATTGAGATAGATAGATGAATACAATAAATCTGTCGCGAGGAACAAAGGCACACGATATTGGTGTATACTTTACAAATGCCACTTTCCATGTTGCTCAATGCAGGATGAGTATTCCGATGTGCACGACAACAAATGTGAGGGAGTTACTTACGCTGCCTTGAACATGGATGGTGTGAATCAAAATGAAGCTGCCTCGGTCATCAGGGGAGAGACGTGTGTTTATATGGACGTGCAAAAATAACAATTTTTCTCCATCCACCATTGCTGTCTGCTTCTGTCACATTGCTTGCTAAAGCTCAACTGGTGAATTAATTCACACACCCACCCCTCCCACCCACCCCGCAATCCCCACTCAGTCAACTGACACAGCAGAAATCCTCTCCTGGTTCCCTGAGTCATCAAAGTCACCTCGGGACATTGCCAGGATTGGAAATATGGCAAACGTTTCCATCGCGAACCCTTAAGCCTCCTCTCAACAGATGGGCCCAGCTGCAGTACGAGAGAGAGAGGGGCCACTCAGATTTTCAATTCTGCTTGGATTGATTGATTGATTGATTTATTGTTACATGTACCGAAGTACAGTGAAAGGTTTTGTTTATGTGCAGTATAGGCAGATCATAGTAAGCAAGGAGGTACAGATCAAAAAAGCTTAGACAGAGGCAGAGATAACATCAGATGAAGGGTCTAGGCCCAAAACCTCAGCCTTCCTGCTCCTATGATGCTGCTTGGCCTGCTGTGTTCATCCAGCTCTACATCTTGTTATCTCTGATTCTCCAGCATCTGCAGTTCCTTCTATCTCTTAGACAGAGTCATTCAGGTTACATTGCACAGGGCTTGCGCGAGGCGAGATCAATGTCAGCAAGATCAGCATTATTTGAGGCTAGAGAGTCCATTCATCAGTCTAATAATGACCGGGAAGAAGCTGTTCCTGAACCTGCTTGTGTGTGTGATCAGGCTTCTGTACCTTCTGCTCAACAGAAGAGGATGTAGGAGATCGTTACCGGGGTGTGATGGATCTTTGATGATGTTGGCAGCAGCGAGCCGTGTAAATGGAGTTCACGAATGGGAGGTTGGCTTCCGTGATAGTTTGGGCTGTGCACACCATCTTCCGTAGTTTCTTACTGCCCTGGAGTTGCCATACCAGGCCGTTTTGCGCCTGGACAGTATGCTTTCAATTGTGCATCTGTAGAAGTTGGTGAGGGTCCTTATGGACATGCTGAATTTCCTGAGCTACCCCTCAGAAAGGAGAGGCATTGTTGTGCCTTCTTTTTGTCACATGAATGTGAGAAGTCCAGGACAGGTTGTTGGTTATTGTCACTCAGAGAAACTTGACGCTTTCCACCCTCTCAACCTCATTTCTGTTGATGTAGATGAGAGAATGTTCTCCTCTTTTCTTTCTGAAGTCAATGATCAGTTCTTTAGTTTTGCCGAGAGAGAAGTTGTTCTCATTGTACCACGTTGCCAAACCCTCTATCTCCCTTTTCTGTATTTTGATAACCATCTAATAATGGTTATTAGATATCCATTAGATAGAGGTGTTTGTGAAGGTTTTCGTCACAATAAAAAGAGCCTATGCCCCACTGAAAGAAATAGGGTCAGTGCTGTGAAGATTTATATATGCCAGAAGATTGAGGAACTTTTAGACACCGAAAAGGTTAAGAACAAGTGAAAGCATGCAGGTACACAAGAAAGAAACAGAGAAAAACAGACTAACAACGTCCTAAATATATGAAAAAGCCCCTCGAGCCTGTTCTGCTTGCCATTCAATGAGGTTGTGGCTGATCTGTGGCCCAACTCCATTGACCTGCCTTTGGTCCGTACCCCCTAATACCTCTGCCTAACAAAAATGATCTCTCTCAGATTTAAAATGAATAACTTAACTAGCATCCATTGTGGTTTATGTAAGACAGTTCCTGTCCTCTACCAGTTGTTATGTGATGTGTATTATCACCAGACTGTTAATATGGAGACCCAAGTAATGTCCTGGAGACTTGGATTCAAATCCTGCCATGGCAGATGGTGGAATTTGATATCTGTGATAACCTGTAATTAAGACTTTAACAATGATCATGAATCCGATGCCAATTGTTAGGAAAAATCTACCTGGTTCACTAACGTCTTTGAGGGAAGGAAATCCACTGTCCTTACTTATATGGCCTACATGTGACTCCAGATCAACAGTGATGCGGTTGACCCTTAACTGCCCTTGGGGCAATTAGGGACGATCAATAAATTCCGCCCCAGCCTGTGACACTAACATCCGATAAACATGTTTTTTTCAAAAAAAAGTGTTTCCTGACATCTCTCCCAAATAGTCTAGCCCTAATTTTTAGACTACATCCGCTAGTACTAGAATTTGTGGCATTCTCCAGGATGAAATTAATGCCAGGCAAACTGAATGGACCTCTTCTCTCTGTCTTTATTGCAGAGGACACTAAAAGAAATCCTGAGAATAGTTGAAAAGGAATGATCAAAAGAGAAACAGAGAAAGAGACCTTTAATGTCAGTTGAGGTAAAGCTAATAGGATTCATATTGGAGAAATCTGAGTTAGACTTGAGAAATTCAGCAAATCTGGCAGCATTTGTGGAGAGAGAGAAACAGAGTCAATGTCATACGCTTTAAATGCAGAAAGTGCTGGAGAAACTCAGTAGATCTGGCCGCAGCTGGAGAGAGAAAGAGTTAATGATTCGAGCCTCGTGACCCTTCCTCGCAACTAGAAGCATCTAGAAAAAGGTAGTATGGAGGGGTGGGAGCAAGCGTGAAACTTAAGTGCAGACAATGTCCAGACAGAGAGAGAGAGAGAGAGAGAGAGAGCGAGAGAGACAAAAGCATCAGCTGGTTAATAGGAAGACGGGGAAAAAGAGAAGCTGGATAATAGGGATAATGAGGATTTGACAATGGGTTGGCAGTGCTGAAAGTAACTCATAAAGGTGTTGGGGGTGGGTAAACATTCCCTATCAACAACGATCAACAGAGACCCAGATAATGTTCTGGGGACCCAAGTTCGAATCCTGCCATGGCAGATGGTGGAATTTGAATTCAATAAATATCTGGAATTAACAATCGAATGATGACTATGAATCCATTGTCAACTGTCAGGAAAAACCCATCTGGTTCACTAATGTCTTTGAGGGAAGGAGTCTGCCATCCTTACCTGGTCTGCCCTACCTGTGATTCCAGACCCACAACAATGTGGCTGTCTCTTAACTGCCCTCTGGGCAATTAGGGATGGGCAATAAATGCTGCCTAGCCAGCGACGCTCTCATCCCATAAATGAAGAAAGAAAAAAAGTTCTTTTGACTGCTTTCCCCTCGTTTCTCTCTGGGCACTGTCTCTATCTCTTACGTTCTGAAGAAGGGTCACTGGTCTCAAAACATTAATTCTGCTTTCTCTCTCCAAAGACAGTGCCAGACCTGCTGAGTTTTCCCAGCACTTTCTGTTCTTGGTTCAGATCTCCATCATGTGCAGTTCCTTGCCTTATTTTAGCACCTCCACCTCTCCATCTCACTCTCACAGTCCCTAAACCATTATTTAGGAAACGTGAAAGAAAGGAAGACATGAGTAAGCCATTCAGCCCCTCAAGTCTGTTCCACCGTTCAAAGAGATCATGGCTGATCTATGGCCTAACTCCATATGGGAACCCTTGGCCTAACAAAAACTTATCTCTCTCAGGTTGAAAATTAACAACCGATCCAGCATCCATTGGCATTTGTGGAAGAGAGTTCCATACCTCTACCATCCTTTGTGCAAAGACCTGCTTTCCAACATCTCTCCTGAACGGTCTGGCCCTCATTTTCTGACTAAGCTGTCCCTAGTTCTAGAATCCCCAACTAGTGGGAATAGTTTAGCTGCCCTGTATTTTCCTGTTAGTATCTTGAAGATCGCCCTCAAACCTCCTAAATTCAAAAGAAAGGCTAATTTGTCTAATCTCTCTGCGTAACGTAATCCCTGAAGACAAGGTGTCATTCTTGTGAACCAACGTTGTACTCCCTCCAAGATCAATTTATCCTTCCTAAGATGTGGTGCCCAGACCTACAAGCGGGGACTAACCAGGGTTTTGTATAACTGCAGAGTAACTTCTACATCCTGTGCTCCAGCCCTCTAGATATAAGGGCCAGCATTCCATTAGCTGGCTTGATTATTTATTTCAGTATGAATAAAGATTGGCCAACTAGGCCATTATCAGATTGAGAAGTTGTAATAAAGTTTTTTGGCACAAGGATCAGTACTGTTTACAATTAATGTCATGAGCTAATTAAATGAAGCTAGAATCTGCCAAAAAAGAGACATTTGCACTTGATTTCAGATCCTGAATATGTGAAAGGAGAATGAATGGAATATTGGATCAAGAGCAGACCATCAGCCCCTCGAACCTGTCCTGCAATTTAATGGCTGATCTGCAGCCTAATTCCATATACCTGCCTTTGGCCCAAACCCTTAATATATTTGCTGAACAAAACATTATCTCTCTCAGATTTAATAACATGACAATGAAATATGTGCTTCATGTGACAAGCCCCTTTATAGACTGTTTTACTTGTTCCAGAAGAAACAAAATTGGCCAGAAATGACTGCCAGCTTGGCAACTCTGAATAACTGATTGGATCTTATTCCTTTTATATGGTAAAGAGTGGGGATAACAATATTCCTTTTATATGGTAAAGAGTGGGGATAACTATTGTCAATTTTCTCAATTCATTCACTAGTCTATTTTTCCTGAACTTTAAATGCATGCTTTATCAAGGGGCATTGAAAATCGATTTAATTTGTCATTGAAATAAGGCATGCTTAATTCAAACAAAAAAAATCAAATGAACATTGTCACAGATATTTGGTCATTTTATCCTTGAATATTATGATATTTCAAGTGCTCATCCAAATACTTTTTAAGGTTTCTGGCTCCCACTACCTTCCCAGGCAATGTATTCTGGATTCCCACCATCCTCTGTGTGAAAAAGTTTTTTTTTTCAAATCCCCTCTGAATCTCCTGTCCCTTACCTTAAAAATGTGCCCCCCATGATTAACCCCACTCAGCAAAAGGAAGGGGAGAAAAGATGACCTTGTCAGGAGTGTGACAACACCAAATGCAATTACCCCTCCAAGTCAACACAACGCACTTATTCATAGCTTTATTGCTGTTCTTCCAATGTAACTGGCTCAATACTCTCAATCACCCTTTCTGTGTGTGGGGTGTCATCGAACAGCTCAAAGACAGCAGTGGTTTAAAAAGTCATCTTAAGACCAACTTTGCAGGGGGAAGGCGGGGTCATAATTGGACATGGGATAATAAACAATGCCTTGTCCATTGACGCCCCATTCCACAAGCAAATAAAAAATAAGCTTGACTAATAAATTGAGTGAATGGCCTCAAACTTATAAAGAAGAATATTTCTGAAGAAGGGTCTAAACCCGAAACGTCAGCTTTCCTTCTCCTCTGATGCTGCTTGGCCTGCTGTGTTTATCCAGCTTTACACCTTGTTATCTCTGGCCTCAAACTTATTCATCTAGTTTGGTGTTTGTTCGTCAGCATGGACGTGGTGGGCTGAAGGACCTGTCACTATGTCATGTGACTCTACAAATCTATAAAACTCACTTCTTTGAAACGCTGCTCCACTTTTGAATGTCAAAGAGCCGGAAAATGAAATAAAGTTATTGTTTCAAATGAAGGTGGACAAAATAAGTTTCATTTTCTCTTCCAAATCCAAAATCTGTTCAATCGAGTGAGTTACATCGCGTGGCGAATATTGCTTCATACTATTTAATTTTATGGAATAAATGAAGCCCAGTACCTCTCGGTATTTTGGCATCCAGCTTTCCCTGAAATGAAAACAAATTGCAAATAGATAATGTAAAGATTCACAGATTTTTCTTTGCAGTATGTACATTTCATGAATCAAACACAATACCTTTTTCCTGTATCCACTCCTGGAAAATAAATCAGCCGTAGTTAATTATTGCAATATTGTTTAGCTATTTGGAGGCAGTTCAGAGGTGATTTGATACACTGATTCCACAGTTGAGGGGTTTGTCTTGTGAAGAGAGATTGAGCAGTTTTAGAATATACTGTCTGGAGTTTAGAAAATTGAGGAGTGTATTGCTGCAACTGTACTAGACATTGTTGTTTGCGCATCAGGAGTACTGTATAGAGTTTTGGTCCCCTAAATTGAGGAAGGATGTAGGTGCATTTCAGACAGTTCAGAGGTGATTCACTCAATTGATTCCAACAATGAGGGGTCTGTCTTATGTAGAGAGATCAAGCATTTTCAGCCGATACTCTCTGCAATTTAGAAGAATGACAGGAGGTCTAATTGAGGGATATAGGCCTCTAAAGGGCAGGTTTACAAAATAGACGGAGAGAAGATGTTTCCTCGTGTGGGGCAATCTTGAACAAGAGGTCATCGTTTCAGGATAAGGGGCTGGAGCAAAATGAAAACAGAGAAGAGGAGGAATAACTTCTCTCAAAGGGTCGTGAATCTGTGGGAGTTCATTCCCTCAGAGTGTGCAGTGATTGCCGGGATACAGAAAAAAATTGAAGGAAGAGACAGATTTTTAATCAGTGACGGGTTAAAGGGAGTGGGGGCAGGAAAGTGGAGTTGAGGCCGAGAGGAGATCGGCACGATCGTATTGAATAGTGATGCAGGTTCCTGTGGGGCTGAATGGCCTGTTCCTAGCCCTTATGGCTTTGAAAACAAATCCTTTGACTTGTCTTTTCAGGATGCATCAGTGCCACCTGCAAACTTATTGCCCTAATGTCACATTTCCTTCCAAGAAATGTACATGCATCATTTGTGCAGACATGAAAAATAAACAAGAGAAGACTAAAGATAAATGTGTTCTATGATAGTAGTTAGAGTGCAGGTATTTTCTCCTTACACAGTGCAATTGTCTAATTGTCAACTACAGAAGGGCATAAAGCATGCAGTGTGGCTTCAGTAAAGCCTTTAACCATCATGATACGTTTCTGTGTAACGTGCACTGCTTCAGCATCAACATTTGAAATTGCCACACCACTGAGAATAATATTCTGTTTCTCTATTCTTAAGGTCAAAGCCCCAGGCTTAGTCACAGCGTCAAAGAGTCATAAAGCATGGAAACAGACCCTTCAGTCCAACTGATCCATGTTGACCAGATTTCCTAAACTGAACTAGTCCCATTTTGCTGTGCTTGGCCCATATCTCTCTAAACCTTCCCTATCCACATACCTATCCATATGTCTTTTAAACGTTGTGACTGTATACACCTCTACCACTTCCTATGGCAGCTCATTCCATATACGCATCAGTCTCTGTTTGAAGAAGTTGCCCCTGAGGTCTCTTTTTAAGTCTTTCCCCTCTCATCTTAAATCTATGCCCTCTAGTTTTGGACTCCTCTATGCTGGAAAAAAAGACCTTGGCTATTCATTTATGCCACTCGTGATTTTATAACCTCTATCACCCCTCAACCTCCTATGCTCCAAGGGAAAAATGTCCCAGCCTATCCAGCCTTTCTCTATAACTCAAACACTTCAGCCTTGATAACATCCCTGTAAAATTTGTATGCACATTTTCCAACTTAATAGTATCCTTCCTGTAGCAGGGCGACCAGAACTGTACACAGTACTCCAATAGTCCTTTCACCAATGTCCTGTACAACCATAACATGAGGTCCCAACTCCTATACTCTGATTGATGAAGGCAAGCATGCTAAATGCCCTCTTCACCACCTTGTCTACCTGTGACACCACTTTCAAGGAACTATGTACCTGCATCTCTAGGTTTCTGTTTGACAACACTCCCCAGGGCCCCATCATTAACAGTGTAAGTCTGGTTTGTCTTAATAAAATGCAACACCTCGAATTATCTGAATTAAACTCTGTCTGCCATTCCTCAACCCGTTGGCTGAGTTGATCAAGGTCCCATTGTACTCTTAGATAACCTTCTTCACTGCCTACTCTGCCTCAAGTTGGTGTCATCTGCAAACATATGAACCGTGCCTCCTATAAATCTCATCCAAATCATTTGGATAAATGATGAGCAACAGTGGACACAGCACTGATCCCTGCAGAACACTGCTGGTCACAAGCTTCCAGTCTGAGCAATCGCCCCCACCCTCTGACTCCTACCGTCAACCTAATTTTGTACGTTGTCAGAACTCTACAAAGTTGACGATGAAGTGGTTTAATTTAACAAGAGTTAGAAAGAAAGAATGATGAATTTCTAACATTTAACACATCAGTTACCTAATCTGTAAAGACATGGAATTCATTGCTACAGAAGGCTGAGAAGGTCAGGTCTTTGAGTATACTTAAGGCAAAGATACTTATATCCTTGATTGTTAAGGGGATCAAGGGTTACGGGGAGAAAGCTGGGGAATGGAGTTGAGAAACTTATCAGCCATGATTGAATGGCAGAGCAAACCCGTTGGGCCAATTGGCCTCATTTCTGCTCCTATGTCTTAGGGAACGCCACTGGACGCTGGGCTCCAGTCACACAAACAGCCTTCTACCACCAAACCAGTTTTGGATCCGACTTGCCAATGGATCCATGATCCCATGAATACTTACTGTCTTTCTCTGTCTCACATGTTGTGATTTGATTCCCTTCTCAGCAATGAATTAATATAAACATGCAGCAGTCAAGACAGACAATGTTGAAAGTAAAAGTCACATTTTTTTAACACTCACAGGAATCTTTACAAAATAGCATTCTAACCAGGGCCTTTACAAAACAATATGGACCCTTTGGATTTACAGTGAGTTGGTCTTGCAGCTTTTATTCTTTTTTTACTTTTAGTGTGAGGAGGGGGCACCGCAGTTCCCAGAAGAGATTCTGCTCCAGGCTCCCTCAGGAGGGCAGAGCTGCATTTCTATTGTGAAAGTGTCCTCAGAGTGAAAAATTATGAGAGGAAGGAAGAGTATATCTGCCACGGGGAAAAGATTCTCACAATCTCACAGTCACATAAAGAGAAACTATTTCCACTGGTTGAAGATTCTTGAACTAGAGAGGGCATTGTCTGGGAATGAGGGCCAGACTGTTCAGGAGAAACGTTAGGAAGTACTTCTACATACAAAGGGTGGGATAGGTTTGGAACTTACTTCCACAAACAGCAGTGGATGCTGGATCAGTTGTTAATTTTCAATCTGAGTCAGCTAATTTTTGTTAAGCAAAGATATTAAGGAGATATGGGCCAATATATGGTAGGCCACAGATCAGCCGTGATCTCATTTAATGGCGAAACAGGGTCAAGGGGATGAATGGCCTATTCCTGTTCCTGAGTTCCTGAAGATGTGTCCTTTGTTGGTGAACTGTTGTATATCACTTTATCGGAAATGCCCAAAGTCTTCGATGTAAGTGGACAATTGCAAATATCAGGTAATGACCCATCAGAAAATACAGTTTTCCAGACAGTTCCCCCTCAGTGAGTTGTAGCAAGATCCCCAAGCACACATTCCATCTACACAGCTGGTCTGGCGGGAAATTCATCCCATAGGTTCTGGCAAAACATTGTACTCGTGGTGGGGAAATTACCTTGCCCCACCTCCCCAGCCTTTGAGACTCTATTAAAAGGAAAAGCACTCAAGTTCTCTCCTCCAAGCGATTTCGTCAGATTCGAAGATTTTGACCTTGTGGATTATAAGAGCAGGGTGGGGATGTTGAAGCTACACAGGACTTTGGTGAGGCCACGGCTGGAGCACTGTGTGTAGTTCCAGTCTCTGTACTATAGGGAAGGATGTGATTGCACTGGAGGGGGTACAGAGGAGATTAACCAGGATGTTGCCTGGTATGGAGCATTTCAGCGATGAAGAGATACTAGATAAGCTCGGGTTGTTTCCTTCAGCACAGAAAAGGTTGAAAGAGTACCTGATAGAGGTGTGTAAGATTATGAGGAGCATGGACAAGGGGGTTAGGAAGCAGCTGTTCCTCATTGTTGAATGGTCAATAACTTGGGGGACATCATTTTAAAGTGAGAGGCAAGAGGCTTAGAAGGGTTTTGAGGATTGTTTCACCCAGAGGATGATAGAGGCCTGGAATGCACTGCCCAGGAGGATAGTTGAGGCAGGAAACATCCCAACCTTTAAAACATATTTGGATGAGCACTTGGTGTTTTCACAATCAAGGCTATGGAGTCTAGTGCGGGAAAGTGGGAGTAGTGTGGATTGAGGGAAGCTTTGATGGTACAGAGGCTATGGACGGAGGGGCCTTAACTACACTGTATCATTCTATGAATTGTAAAGTCTGTGAATCGAAGGAGCCACTTGACGTTTAACCATAACTGAAATATTTTGTAAGAAAGAATTATGAATTTTTAAAATTTAACACAACAGGTAGCTAATCTGTACAGATAACACTGGAAGGGAAACAGGGTAAAACACACCCTACTTGCCCTTCTCTTTATGCAGCATTTTCAATGCATAGCAATCAGCCTTATTTCAAGGTGGAATATTGACTAAACATGCAATAATGTTTAAAAATCTACAAGCATAAAGCCAACCTACAGGAGGCTTAACAAGTTAATTCAACTTTCCTTTCTAACATCATTACTCTCAATGTGCCTTTTGTTTACTCTTAGCAAGATGCATCTATCTGTGACTTTATACTCAGCTACGTTTTGGACAATCTTGTTCAAGAACAGATTAAACACTTTGATATTCCAAGAAATGAGACCTGGCACTACATGTTTTCATTTA